ATTATCGCCCGCTCGCGTCTCGTGTCCCATATTCATCACTTTCTCTATTCGGTTGTTTCCAATTCAAATCTCCTTGATCTTCGCCGCTTCGCTTTAGAAAGGATAAATGAGACGCAACGTGAGGTATAAGGAAAAACGGATTGATAGAGCTTAGAAAGAATAAGAATGGAATAGAAAATAACTGCCAAGTGCCATGTGAAACAGAACAGAAAGAGAGAGAGAGAGAGAGAGAGAGAGAGAATGATAGCGGGAAGAGAAAAATAGAGTAATAGCAAGAAGAAAATAGAGAGTGATGGAGAGACGAAAATACGGAAAGAATAGATAGAAAGGAAATATATGAGGGAAGGAAATATATGAGAAGGAAAAGAAAAGACAGGGAGAGAAAACGACAAAACGTGAGGGAGAAACTAAAAAGGTAAAGGAAAAAAAAGAATAGATTAGAAAAAAGGAGAAAGAGCGCAAACGATGAAGAGCAACTGAGGGTTTGCGGAGGGTGTGCGAGAAGCAGAAAGAGAGATAAAGAGAGAGAGAAGCAAAGGGTAGTAGAAGCCTGGCGAGGGAGAGAGAAAGAGAGGTGGCACGCGCAATGCGGGTATTGATTCACGGCGGCGGCGGCAGCGGCGGCGGCAGCCGGCAGCCAGCCTGAAACACACAACCGCGCCAAGTCGACTCGATTCACCGCCGAGACAAGAAGGGACCGAATTCGCGAGTCAGCAAGGGAGCAGAGAAAAAGAGAGAGAGACAAGGAAACAAAAAGACTATGTCATATTAATTCGAATTTACAAATCGCGCACTACTTACAATTATCCCTGGAACCGCTTTCGATATCTTTCACCGATTCCGCAACGCGATTAAACTGAGTTCACACGAGAGTCTAATGTAGAATTCCCTCAATAGGAAAATCTTTGCTCAAATTCGCAATGGCATTGTTGTTTCATGAGAGAAATTATATACAATCAAGTTTATCATGCAGTACAAAATTCGGATGCAATTCCCATGCAAATGTTATTAGAGCGTACTTTCTCCAAAATGAGAAATTTTAGAGAATAGGATAAAATTAGACTACACCGTCGGGAGCTCTTTGCTATGTACTTAAGAGAAGAGAAAGACTCTAGAATTCTCTTTAATATCTAATTGTAAGAAAATAACTCAAGAAGGCGACGTCACAATTTCAGATAAAACACCTATAAACTTATGAGAGATATATCTGTTAGTTATATTTGCTCAGATTTTAATTTCAGTGGAAAACTTTCGTCAAGAGAAAAATTGCATCAGATTCTTTCAAGCGAAAAAATTTGCTCCCTCAAAACAAAAACTGTTTGTTTCATAGTCACCCTGTATATTGCCGCAAAGCGCATAATTACGCGTATTGTAGCAGTGTGAAAATCGAGAAAAGTAGCGGCGCGTGTTTGTGTGAAAGCGCACGGGGGTAGTCTGGTTTCAGGGTTAGGACCGATCAGGGTTAGATGGTATCGGCCGAGGCTCTTGCATGCGCCTAGCATGGCTGGGGATACCCCGGCAATGCGTAGAATTGGATCGTCGCGGCCACGAGCAGTCGCCCATGCGACCGTTAATAGAAACGCATACTATGAAATATGCCCGATGTTGATATATAGATATAATGTAAAAATATGTGTAAAATATAAAGAGCACACAAATATTTTATCCGTTTTTTTTTTTTATGTAAATACTTAAAAAATTTTATTTTGTCTTCATTCTCTTAAGATTATCTTTTTTATTTTATTTAAGTACATCACTTCGAAATTTCAGATGTAAAAAATTTCGGAAAAAGATATTTATTACATTTATATAAAGAATGTTTCTTTATGTAAAGCATTAATATAAAGTTATTTAATTAAATATACCTTTTCAGAATATTCTGATTTGCTCTACATTTTCAACTTTCATATTTGTAAAAAATGGAAGCTAGTACAAAATATACAAATAAGTGAATTTTAGAATCGGGTTTGCTTGAATTTTTTATATCTGATTATATATGAAATACGTATTATTCTGTACTTTTAGAATTACTCCTTTACCTTTTAATATATTCAAAACCACTAATTATAAAATAACACAAAATATAAAATCATAAAATTAATATATACAATTAAATATTAAATCTATTTTGTCATTTGTGCAATTCAAGCTAATATGATATTCATGTTCTACTCAGTTCAGACAAATCTCGTACGCGGCAGCCGAGAACATTCGAGCAACATTGATTTGCGCTCGTTAATAAAATCCGTCGGTCGGGCATCGATCCGCCAACAACCACAAAGACAACGCGGAATAGAGCGCGATAAATAAAGAAGGGTGCTCTGAACAGCGGCGCGGCGCTCGGATAGGTACGTCCCTTAATAGCAAAGGTCGAGAACCTTGTCGAGTTGACTCGCGGGATAGCGCGCAGACCTACTTCCAAGTAACGTCGATTCCTTTTATTGATTCTATTTTTGCGAGAAGTCAAGAGAGAGAGAGGGAGAGAGAGAGCTTCTTGAGAACGCTCACCCTCATCACAATCACCGATCGTGTCCACGATTTCGTTTTTCATCGAAAAATGATTATAAATATATAGAATTCAGGACATATCCAGATTCCCACACTTCAGTATGTTAATAATGTAATATACGCGTTTTAAAAATGAGATAGTTATTTTTACATAATATTGCCGATTAATTAAAATCTGTGACATATGAAGGCATTGGAACACGAGAATGAATCGATATTAATTAATTCAATTTTAAGCGAAATATTATCCAGTTAACACAAGGATTGCTCAGAGTTATATATAAGTACGTGTTACCTCTCCAATGAAATATCAAAGGAAACAACAATATGTATCGTGACGTATTTATAGATCATGATTTTGCAGTAAATAAGAAAATAGTAAGAAAAAAATACGTAAGAAAAAAAAATTAAAAGAAACGAATATAATCGAATGCGGTTATAATAAAATAATTATAACGTTGAATATAAGACAATCTCGCTCAAAAACGGAATCTACTAAATATCAGCAAAAGTTCAAAGTGACACTTTGCCGATTCAGTATTCATAAGAAAGTCCATAAGAAGATCGACATGCTTGTTTCGAAAATAGAAAGGGAATCTTTTGAGATGGTAGAAAAATAACGAAACGAGGAGAAAAAGATCGCCGATGGACAGGCAGATCGTAATTAGATTCGCTGGTGAACGGTCGATGACAGCGCGCGTTGCTGGAAATAGAAAGTAACGGCCAAACAATCGAAGGCTAATCGATAATGTGTAAAGCCGGACGGACGAACGGATGACGCGAGGGGAGTACAGACACCTCGCTACATTAGACTTTAATTCGGCCGCAGTAGTGCATGACCCGACATAGTCAGACGCAGCTCCCATCTGGCACCATCTCCGCGACGCGATCGTAGCCTCAGATTATCATTGGCGGATAAACCGGCTGAATCAAAAAGTTTTTTCGCAAAATGCAAGAGAGAAAGCTAACCACAATAATATTATTATAACTTCAAAATTATTAGAGAGAGAATATTGCAATTATATATATAATCATAAAATTTATAATTGTATAAAAAAGATATATATCGTATAATATTACCTTTTCTTATATTTTTTTCTTTCTGTACACAAGAAAAAGTTATCTGTGTCTACAGAAATTATTCTATCGACTTATTTTGTCTATAAAATGGTAATTTATATTTAATGGAATTTTATAGAGAAATTAAGAAATATAAATTCGTATTTTAAAAGAGATAACTTTTAAATATTGCTTTTTATTGCAATGTATCGGTAAAAATAATTCAATAGTTAAGAGATTAATTGAAATTACTATTTAGCGAAGTATTAAGATAACAGCTTTATCAGCTTTTATCAACTTGCCGACGCTTGTTTAATAAGGGTTGCAAATATAGAGGTGCAAAATATTACCAACGGTCGTAGCTGGATTGGAACATACCGTTCGATGGGTCAAGTACTACAGAGGGTAAGCTGTGATACTCTTTATCGACATGATTGATATATAGTCGACTCGTACCGACATTATAGGGGTGGTCGCAATATAGGGGATGAAAAGCGTTAAAACCATGTCGATAAAATAGATTGCGTTGATAATATCGGATTGAACGGAAAGTTTGTGCCGTTTTTTCGGTTTTCATCTCTTAGTAAAAAACGGAACGAACTTTCCGTTCAACCCAATAGTTTGTTCCATAGCTATAAACATGGGTCGAAAGATGCTTCCTTAAAGAGTTAGCGCCCAAAAACCTCTGAAACCATGGTTATTTCTTACATTTTTACAAATATCAGGGAAAGTATGCGTTTTTTAACAAAAAGTACCGAAACAAAAGTTGTAGAGAATTAAATTATCTTCCAAATGAGATCAAAGTTATTGTATTGGGTTGAACGGCACGAACTTTCCGTTCATCCCAATACAAAGTAGTGATAAATTCCAAGTGATAAGAGATATATCATGCTCATTTAATAATTTCTGATAAAGATAAATTTATATTTATATCCTTAAAAATAATTAGTAAAATTTAATATTGTTAATTGTGTGTTGTCCGTATGAATCTTAAAGAGATTATTTATTTTGTATTTGCGATTTCATAAAAAAATTATTAATAAAAATTAAAAAATTCTCAAACTACAGTGTGATATTTTTATGCGAATGGAACGATCCATTATTAAACGTGTAATTCTATGAATGATCATCTTAAGCAGCACAGATCTCAAAAGCATTATTAAAAGTTTTATATGAATGATAGTTAATACGCTACCCTTTAGCTATGATACGCGTAGATTTTTTTAAAAATTGATAAACAAGATAGGAATGTACTGCAATTATAGTTCTGTATTATATTATACGCTTTGCCCAAATGTATATAATTTTAATATTATTTATTATAAAATAACGATAATGATAAATCATACAATATACACCAATAAGTCTCGTTTAAACGCCAATACAACCATAGCTAAAGAGTTGAATAAGAAAATATAAAGGATGCGACTCACATAATATCGCCGAGCTTGAGCCGCGTCTGTATAAGAGCGCAGCTCTTATGATCGCTGGTGGTGACGGCTCTTCGTCTCCTGGCGGCATACCTGGGCACCGGTTCCGAATACATTGCATTGCCGTCGGCTGCATTTCCGCCGATCCCGGATGTGGTGCCATAACCAATGAGGCCCATACCTCCACGCATCAGCGGATTACTGCCACGCCGACGCGTAGACACGTGTCGACCTCCCACGCTACCCAGCATCCTGGAAGTAAACATGAATTAATTAAGTCACAAAGTAGATGTGATTTTATGCACGGAGAAAATTTTATAGTACAAATTACGTGAAAAATATCATATATTTTCTTTTACAGCATTTATTGTAAAGCTGGAATAATAACGACATTTAAGATATTTATTACTATAAAAGTTGTAAATTACATTTATTCTATTTGTTAACGATTGTGCATTTCTTTGTGCATCAAAATATTTGAATAATTACAATACTTCTTTGTAAAATATAATACATATATAATATTATTGAATAAAAATATCGTGATTTTTCTTGTATGTTAATATATTCTACCATTACAAAAATTATAAAGATATCGGGAAAGATATGATCATATTACACAGCGAAAATTAAAAAAAAGAAGTGATATGCATCTTGATTGTTTTTAATTTAGTCTTTAAAAGTATTTTATTTTATTAAATATATTTTTAGTTCCCCAAAATTATTCGAAAGTCGGCGATATCAGATGGCACGCATAAATGTCGATGTAACAATAATAAATTTTTTAAGTCGGCGGAATAGACGAAGAAAAATTTGTAGGAATAAATTAACGGAGCATAGAAGAAATCCAGCGGAACGTTCTTTCGTTAATTAGGTTACGTTGTCTGGCCTAATCTCGGCGCATCAACGGGGCGATGGGTAGTCACGCGATCAAGCACTTGTGTTCGTCTATTTTCTGACACACGTACCGCGGCCATTAATAGTCTTTTCTCCCTTAATGTATTGGCGATGCCTAACTAATCTTCGTTGGATCGATAAGAAAAAGTCGGCCGTGTCGAATATGAAAAAGGAAAAAAAAAGGATCGTCATTTTCGACACGCGATTCATGTTCCATATAGACCTATATATACCATTCATACATGAGGCTCGTTTATTCAAGAGTCTCGGCAACACACATAAAGTATTCTATTAATTACCCGCGTTCGCGCTGGTATATCGGCTTCCTTGTGGCTTTTCAAACGTCACGCGGTTCTCTTTTTCATTCCTACCTCCCTTCATTTCCTGAAAGCGTCCGTCCTGCGTTGAAATGGAAAAGAAAGCGTTACTGCTATCTAGTCCATTAAAATAGTATCAAAAACACCGAATATCTACAAAACGGATAGACAAACTATTTTACTGGACTAATCTTGATATCGCAAAATCCGATTAATCATCATTCAAACACGACGTTCCGTCGAGTTCATTAGTCTCGACAAACAGGAAATGCGCATAGTTCGCGGATATTCATCATGTAAATAGAAATATAAGAAAAGTCGTTAAAGTATGATTTCGAAATTTGCAATATTCTTGTAGCAATTCAAACCTCGATGTAAAAAAGTCCGCAAATGTCAAAGTATGTGAAATTTTCGGAGAAGTTACTTTCCGCTGCGAGAGAGTAATATTTCAACATATATATATTTTAATGAAAATAAAAAAAATATATACTGTTTATATTTTCGTTGGTGCTTCATAAAGTATTCACAGGATTTTATGTTGATATTAACTGTGCGAGAAGTGATGAAAAATTGAACAATGCTTGACATAATCACTTAAAATAATGCGGATAAAAGCTATAAATATTTTGAGGTAAAATTATTTCAACCATAGGAATTACGGTAGAATATCTGCAATGCATGGCCTCCCAACGTTGTTTCCTCTCGAATCAAATTTATACGGACTATATTGTGAGTTTCGTATAGTTTCACGAAGTTTCTCATCAAGCGCATTACACTAACCAGATGGAAGTCGATGTGCACTAAGTAGGTAGTATATATTTCTGAATCAAGACTATATTGGCTACGCAGTTTACATGTTGCGTGTTTTCTAAATGGCAATGCAACTCAAAAGCGCATTTGGACTTCAAAATTATAATTTCACGAAATGATGCAAAGTTCTGTATCGATATTATTTTTCTGTTCGTAAAATGTACTGGAACACAAATTCGTGTGACCGCAATATGTTAGCAAATGTATATCTCAAATTGAAATCACATCGAAGTAAAATCTAATTAATCATTTAAACGAAATTAACGATTTAAATGAAAAATAAAGATCCGCTATATTTGATCTCTAATAATGAAATCCAAGAGCTCGTGAAACAAACTTTGCACAATCTCAATAATATTGTTGCTAAAGAAAAATCGATATTAAATTTGCTAGAGAAAGAATCATTACATCTCAAATAGTTCGTATTTTACATCAAATCTTGTGTAATATTATTATGGAGTATTTTTGCCAAACAATTAGAACGTGATTTTCTATTAATTTTGATTTCTGATGAATTGAAACATGACGCGGAATATTCATCTGACTGACAATTCGTGCGCGTTGACACGTCAGTTCTCGCACAGGGGTTAATTGCAAACGAATTATTATCCGGTCCGTTTATCGAATGAACAAAACAGAATTACAATCCATTAGGTGCTACGATCGACAGATACGTTTTCATCCACAATGCACGTAACACATCGCAACGCAACGTGAAATTGCGTCCGAACGAATGTCACCATGCGATATCACTGTGCGCTTAATGGTCGGAAATAATCGACTGATAAATTTTTCATGCTAAGATTCTGAATCTCGCGCACAGTTCATCTCGTCAGTGATTTTATTTTATATCGTTCCATCGAATCGCCTTCATCTAATATACATCAGCTATTCATTCGTTTATTCTTCATTGTATAAATGCATAATGGAATAAAAGTTTATATAAGAGTCGAGAACAAATTTATTGTGTATCGTCGCATTATAATTTATACATCGAAAATAAAGTGCATTAATAATACAATTGCGAGTCATTAATAATTTATGTATTCACAAATAATTTACGTATCTATATGTAATTTTAAAGTGAGAGATAGAGTAGTTTCCAAATAATTCTTTGTGATTAGAATTATTTAGATTCGCGTTGCATTTTCCATAAAAAATATTTATTTTATTTCACTATTTATCATATTTGATATTATTGATGTAAATTATACATTTACTTTATTAAACTATATTATATATATTATCCAACTCTCTCTATCAAAATTTATTGATTTATTATATATTACTTCATAAATGACTATATTATTATAGAAATTATATTATTTATTTCATTGAATATTATATTTGTATAAAGTAAAACTTGACAAGAGTAAATAAAAGTCGCGCAGACATGTCGTATAAACATGGGCCTCATTTCTTCTTCTTCTTCACCTCGTGAAGAAAAAACCTCGTAGCAGATAATGAGAAATCGAACGTTCTCATGACAGATAATGAAAAAATCAAACGTAAGACGCGTATCGACGCGCTTTACATAAGCGCGTTTAGGGAAAATATATAGTGTCGCTTTAGCGAGGCTTGCTGCCGCGTCACAACACTAGTCGAAATTTTAGAATCGCAACCTGTTGCTAGGCACCCCGGGGAACTCTTATTCCACCCTCGCTGTGTTACCCGGCAACCTCTACCCTACTCCTACTCCCTCACATCTCCCCCTTCTCCAGTTACTCCTCCAACCCTTTCACCCTCCATTTCCGCCGAGATTCCCTCCGCTTCTCTTCCTCTCTCTCTCTCTCTCTCTCTCTCTCTCTCTCTCTCTCTCTCTCTCTTTCTCTCTTTCTCTCTTTCTTTCTCTTTATATGTAATATATAGAACAGGTATCACGCTTGAGAAGCAAGTTTTCGTCGATTCTCATACAAGTTATCCGCAAAGGACCTCCTTCTTCCATCCATTGTCCTTTTCATCTCTCCGCTCTTTTGTCCATCCTTTTTCTTCTCCTCGCAAATATCTTGCCTTTTTACGTTTGCCTCGATAACTGGCCGTTACTAGCTCGCGAGAATCTATCAAACCTCTGGTTCTCTTCATTTCAAAGCGATTTTTATTCTCTCCCTTCGAGGCGCCGAAATAACAAAATTTTATGCACGAGTATACAAAGTCTTTTCTGTCCGATACCTCATATATGTCAGAAATAGAGGTTGTCTATATATATACCTTGATATAACCATACCTTTAATAAATAAAATCTGAAAAGATTCAAGAATATTTCATATTCTTGAGAGTTACAGGCATAAAATATTTATACTCCTACAAAAATATTTCTATAATATAATATTAATTTATTATGATGATATCATAATCTTGAAAGGCCAAATTTTTATTTATTTGTAAAATTTTTATTTATTTGTATATTAAAAAAAATTGCAAATCCCACCAATAAATTTAAATAAAAACTGTTATTTTAGTATATTTGTACGCTTTTGGATGAGGATGACAAAAGTAGCAAAACTTGATTTCAAAACATTTTTCTCGTCACAAGTCCTTTTTGCTGAGTACAATCACATCGACATATGAAATCTAATACAAAGTCAAAGACGGCCGACTTCTCGTAAAATTAGTTTTATCTTGAGGCCACCCCTCGTGTCAAAAGATCAAAATGAGAAAAAGGAAGAAGGTAAACCATTTCGTTCAAGGGTATCGTGCGAGGAATGAAAAGTAAAAGCAAATTTATAAGATCGCTACTAGGGTGGGAAATTTCAGGCCTGTCAGGTTTTATCTATGTAAAAGGACGAAGAGCCTTGTATATAATTAAGGTTTAGCATTCTAGATTAATTGCAAATTCTCTTCATTAATTACGATCGTATTGATCAAAGAATCTGTAAGTTAAAAGAAAATAAGAAGATGTTGAATAGCGTGCATAATAAAAAGGCGATCTTAAAAATTTCTTATTATGCTTTTTATCAAATAAATCTTATTATGTAATAAAAGAAGTCAGCGATTATATATAGAATGTTATTAAGAAAATGCTAACAGAGATCTTAGATTTAATCTAAATGCATGATCTCCTTATATTTTCTAACACATTTTTATAGTTAAATCTCAAATAAAAAAAATTTCTAAAATGGAATTTATACATCAAATTGAATAAACAATATGATTCTTTGCTTATCTGATGCTTAATTTCCAAAAAAAATCTGTCATCTCGATAAACTGTTTTCTCAAAATGGACAAGAATTTAATTATGAAATATTGCTTCTGAGTTTTTGAATCATCCACGTATCGCACTATATTTATTTATAATCTTTCTTATATATATGTTTGCAAGTTGATGAATGGACAATAGAATTGCTCGATTAATTCCGATT